ATATGGCAGTATGATTGGAATCTAGCTACCTGCATCATCTTGCTGCCTCCTTACCATACTCTCTATACTAGACGAACTACAACGATGTGGTAGTTCGGACACTAGCAAGGGATGAATTCCGGTGGAAAAGCCTCATGCCCAATTGGAGAAACACGAAGCAAAGGCTCCGCAGTATAATTTTTTTTCAACCATGGAAAACAAACGGAAATGAGCCTGTGCAAACTCATTCAGCCGAGAGTTGTATGCATTGAGTGCCCAGAAAAGATATAAACGGATCTCCTGGCCAACTGTCAGATCCTCAGCGAAGCCCACGAAGTTGGATTGTTGTGTTTTCCTATGAAGCTGCTCCGCACAGCTGGCTTCCACTGCTTCCTCGTGCCATGGTTCAGTTTTAAAATGTGATGGCTCGTTATCCTGTGTAAAATTCCTTGTCTGTAGCATTGGTGAGTTTCTCCGTGACGAACAATATTTTTGATTCGCCTTTTTTGAATTGCAGTAACCTGGGTATGGCACCAGCTCCCGTCACGTACCGTATGTAGAAACTGGTAGACGCAAGCAAACGGTTTGACCAAGATTATATGATTCCAACTGAATAATACCAGGGTGTACCCGTACAGCATATTGACTACATAACTTTTGTTCTGTGAGAGGAAAGCCGACAATTTTACTTCCATACCGCCCTACCCCACCATCGCATAGCACCCTTCATGCACCTTGCTCTCCCGGAATCAATCGTCGGATGAAGAATATGCGACCGTTTGAAATTGTTGTTCGCATCCATCTTTATTAGTGTGCAGTCTGTCACAATTGAAAAGTGGCCCGATATTGGAGATTAAAAAGGCACACGACAAGCCAGACGAGGTAATGGGGCGCACGTTTTTTTGTGGTAAGCATTCGCGAGGAGCCGTTTTTCTTTGCCAGCAGGAGACTCATAGAATGAATTAATCCATCAAATCCATGTTGGCAAAGAACCACTCGATACCCCATCATTGTTTGCACCCAAATCAGCAGATGGCAGGATCACACAACTCAGAGTAGTCCTTTGCCTTGGAATTATCTCGCCAGCTATGCGGTTATCGCCGTCGGAAATCACATCCAATCATAAATACACAGCGGCTTATGAACAATGTCCCAATGGTGTGTGTGTTTCCAACGTGAAGAAAATGAAACATTGTTCACGGTGCAGAAGGTCATCGTCCAAGCGGTCGATGATGTGATTCTTGCAAACAAATATAAGTCAGCTAAAATCGGACTCCTCAGTCGTTTGGATGAAGAATGTATGCAGGATGCAGGTTCATGGTGAGCTCGCAAGAAGTGCGAAACGGGTACAACTTGAAACTACCGTTTGCACTTTACGCTGCTGGACTTTTTTAAATTAAATAACGTGATCAAACATACAATGCGAATTCTTCGGTGCATTTCCGTCAGTGCTTTTGTCTCACTTGTTCTCCTTTGTTCTTGTGCAGTCATTCTTGGTTTCTGAAGTGATACAATTCTGTCATTAAATAAAGTTGGACCCAAGTATGTTTCGCACCGTTGAACTGCAATCGGTCATCTATTCATAATTTTTGTTTTCACTGCCACTAAACCTATTCGGTACCTAATACTGCATCTCCATCATGTACGGTCTTGTTTTCGAGATTATCGAAGAGTGGGTCATCGAGAAGCAAGGGCTCGACGTGTGGCATAACATAAAGGAGCTTGCTGGTAACAAGAGGAACGACCAAACCTATCTGAGGCGAGCTTATTATCAGGATGAAGAGCTTGTGGATCTCATCAATGCTGCTTCAGAAATCCTCAAGATTTCTGTTCACGATATTCTCGATGCATTTGGCAGATTTGTCATCATGCATCACTTTGCCAATGGATATGCTGAACTGCTAATATGTCAGGGGTCAACTCTGCGCCAATGGCTTTCAAACCTCAATGCCATGCACGATCACGTACAAAGAAGTTTCCCAGGAGAGAACTTCATTGCCCCAATCTTTTGGTGCGAAGATTGTGACGAAGTCGAAGGCTCTATTCAACTGCACTACTATACCCTACGGGGCACCCTGTTGGTACCAATGGTTGTTGGTATCGTCGAGCAATTGGCATCTTATCATTTCAACCTCGAGGTTAAGATGGAGCAACTCGCATTGCAGGGTGAAGACGGTGCCACCTTTACTTCATGGCGTATTTCAGCAGTGGACGAATCACAAAAATGGAAACTATCCCCCCTTGCATCTTCCCAAAGCAACGAGGGCGACAAGCCAATCAGTTTCGATGGTGTTTCGTTGCCTGACAAATGTCCGTTCTCAGGCAGAGCGCTGAAGCGAAGCAATCACAATACCAACGACGAGACATCTACAAAGTGCCCATTTCATGCAAACCTAGAGGGTGCCTCAGAAAGCTCAAGTCCATCAGAAACCGAAGAAATGACTTCAGTAGGCTCTCTTTCAGGACCAAGCGACAGTTGTGCCGACTTCGGTTTTTCTGGGCAGCATCTCAAGGAGTTGTTCCCTTTCCACATCCTTGTCGATCAACACTTCTCAGTTCTTCAACTTGGACCGAAGCTACCAAGGCTCCTTAAAAAGTCGTTTTCTCAGCTGGACGGTGTGCATATCAGTGATATTGTTCAAATTACACGGTAAGTGTTTCAATTGGAACTTATCTATCTGTTTCTCTTCTGGTGATACTGACTCAGATTATCACTATAGACCGGTCTTGGGAACATCATGGGAATGGAAATCTCTTAACAAATTATCTGATCAAAACTTCTTCCTGACTCCAGCCACCAAGAAAACCTCACTTCACAAGAAAGTCTCCATGGCAGATAGCACCATCCAATTTCAGGCTTCCATGTATCGACTGACACCAACAAAGGTCATGTTCGCACTGACCCCTAACGTGCAAAATGTGAACGAACTTAATCGAATGGGCTTGAAGCTGACCGATCTTCCGCTCTCCAGCTGTCAGCGCGATGCCGTATTTTTGGGCGAGCACGTTGCTCAGGAAGCTGACAAAGCTCACAAGCTTGACAAACTCAGCAAGCGATTGATAAGCGAAAAAGATCTGTCCAACACTCTCCTTAACAATATGCTTCCTCAAAAAGTTGCCGAGGATCTTCGACGAGGAAAAACTGTTGAGCCAGCCTTCCATGAACATGTCACACTGTTCTTCTCTGATGTTGTTGGATTCACTAGTATCTGCGATCAAGTCGAACCGTGGGATGTCATTGACATGATGAATCAACTGTATTCAGTGATGGACTTTCTTGCCAGTCACTTTGATCTCTATAAGGTCGAGACTGTTGGTGATTCGTACATGTGTGCTTCTGGGCTAATAAATCCTGATGACTACCACGCTGAGAAGATGGCGAACTTCGCTTTGGCAGTTCGGGAGTGTGTACAGCAGGTCAAGTCTCCTATCGATGGATCGCCGATTCAGCTTCGAATTGGAATCCACACTGGTAGCTGTACTTCTGGTATTGTTGGAACATTGGCTCCGCATTACTGTTTGTTCGGTACGTATTGTAAAGATATGTGGCTTCAGAATATTGCATCAGAATCAATGAATCTTATGGCTCTTTTGTAGGTGACATGGTAAACACGGCGTCTCGACATGAGTCGACTGGTTTGGCAGGCAAGATTCAATGCTCGAGTGTGCTATATGGCAGACTTGAACATTTCTCGAAAAAAGACAGTCGTCAGTACAACTTTAAGGCACGTGGTCTTGTTGATATGAAGGGCAAGGGAGAATGTTACACCTATTGGCTGGAGAGCGCTGCAGAGGGAAACACTGGGGTTAATGAGGAATCCTTGGCAAGTCTTTCAAGCCAAGTTCAAGGGATACTTTCAACTAACACGTGGAAGAAGAGGCGCTACTTTGGACGAGGCGGAATCTTTCGAAGTAATGCAGATTCTTCAGACGTCTCTGTTTCTGGACTCTCATTTCACGATGGATTGACCCAAAGCTTCACAAGTGAATCTTTGAGCAGTCTGCTTGGTAGCGAAGGGTCCGCTCATAACGGGGATGATTTCACGGATGATGTCATGGATGATGAGGACGGTACAATACCAAATACGACCATCTTTGATTTCCCAGAGGAGGATACACTGCAGATACCGAGACCATGGGGAACGATAGGAAGCCATAAGAAAGAACCTGTCGAGGAAGCGATAGGAAAATCTCTCTCTCGGTCGCTGGCTACGTGTATTCAGAAAGGGGGAAGGCGAATGCAGATGATTGAAGACCAGCTCCAAGCATTTGTCTCCTTGATAGCAAATATCTATGATAGCAGCCTAAATGAAGCATCACTGGATTATATCACTGGGGTCTTGCAGAGAGCAAATATCCTTTGGGAAGCTAGGGATCCGAACGATCGATCTCCATGCGCACTTGGTGCCAACCCTTGGGATCATTTCACTCTTCTTTTCAGTGCCTTTATCCATCAAGTCAAGCATACTGGTTCCACGAACGCCACTCTGGAGAGGGAAAAGCATATTGTTGCCCAGATGTACGAAGGGCTACAATCTTGTCAGGAGAGACGATCGGTCGACTTTGCATTTACTCTACTGGAAGATGAGTTCGGAGAGTTGTACGATGAGATTACCTTTGGCTGTCCGAACTTCAGAAGCCTGGTCCGTAAGGCAGTTCTCTGTACAGACTTAGAAAATGAAAACACAGTTCGCGAAATGCTTGGAAATTGTGCCAAACTGAATTCAATGGATAATTGCGCGGATGAGCGACAAAGTCGGCAACGTAATACGGCCAACATCGGACTCATCTTGGCCGTGGCTACAGTCGGACAATGCACACAATCACTTGATCAGTTCCTGCAGTACTGCGGTGAAGAGTATGACAAAGCGATGAAGGCTTCCGATAGTAACAGTGCAGAAAGCTGGTATTACGAGCAGAGCATGTTCATGAAGGATGTCTTACTTCCGTTGATCGAAGAAGTATTACCTGTGTTACCGCTTTCTGGATACTTGGAAGAAGGTGCAGCGGAAAATATTGCCTTTTGGGACAAGAGGGGACAAGAGTGGATGGTAGCTAGTAAGCTAAAGAAAGCAAAACTCCATGGGGTAATCGAAGGTAGCGTCATATCGAAGTATCAAGTGGAAAAGCTTGTGTCTGTCAACGTTGCTACCCTTGAGACTCTGCTGACGCAGGTCATGACTACTCGAAACGGGAACGAGCCAAGGTATCTGGATGACGGAGTGGAGTCGACTTCACGAAATCCCTATGGGGAAATCCAGATGTTCATCAAAATGAAGAAGTCGACCATCAAGTCTGGAAATGGCACAAGTACTATTCACCAAGTTGGAGCTGACATTTGTTCCGAACTGAGAGACTTTGTCGTGACTATTGCCGCTAGATACGAGAACAACCGATTCCACAACTTCTTGCATGCAAGTCATGTTGCACACATGGCGAATCTTCTTGTCAAGTGTATCCATTCAACGGAAGGGTCCAACGGGGCCAGCAATATTGCGCATGATCCGCTTGCTCGTTTTGTGATTGTCTTGTCTGCGTTGGTGCATGATATTGGTCACACTGGAGTCCCTAACAGTCAGCTTGCCGAAGAACAGCCAGAACTTGCAGATAAGTATAGTCGCAAGAGTATTGCTGAGCAAAACTCGATCGATACGGCTTGGGAGATTCTGATGTCTCCCAAGTTCAAGAAACTGCAATGTTGCCTCTTCGAATCGAAACAAGAGAAAGCTCGATTCCGCCAGCTACTTGTGAACTGTGTGATGGCCACTGACATTTTCGACCAAGACTTGCGAGTATTGCGACAGTCAAGGTGGGAGAAAGTCTTCTCCGGAGATGAGGAAGCGCACTGCAAGGCCACAAGTGCCATTGAGCACATCATGCAAACATCCGATGTAGCTCATACAATGCAAGATTGGGAGATCTACTGTCAATGGAACGAGAGTCTCTATAGGGAATTGCACGATGCGTACACCGAGGGTAGATCTACAAAGGATCCATCTGATGGTTGGTACGAGGGCGAGCTTTGGTTTTTCGACCACTGGGTGATTCCATTGGCTCAGAACTTGAAGGCATGTGGAGTCTTGGATATCGTGAGCGATCAGTTGGTGAAGCAGGCTCGAAGTAACCGACGTAGATGGCAGTTGGAGGGCAAGCAGATTAGCCAAGAAATGTGTTCTACTATCCAGTCGGATACTCGTTCAAGCTGCTGCTCTCATTCGCTCTCTGCTGCTAGTGAACATTCAGGCAGTTCCGCCAGTTATCTGGCATCTCAGATGGTGACTGAAGCGGAATCTGTGTCAAAAGTGATGGCTCGCTATGAACGCAAGTATGAAGCAGTTTTGGGGAATCTGATTGCGCTGGCATACAAAGGGCAACTTCCATCAGACCTCGAGCAGCAAGAGTTGTCGGATGTCCATAAGCATTTCAAGGATCAGGATTGGTATAGATCTCATGCAGACAATGCCGAGGTATCTTTCCATTATGAGTATCAATAATGAGGGACTTGAATTGGTTATAGACATAGACTTATTGCTGGCTCTATTATGATGTTCTAGTGAAACGGTATTTTAGAGGAATGAAATCTACAATATCTTCCTGCCCTCGTTGTAGTTGAACATCCTCTTTGAAGCGGAAAATTCTGACAAACTATCGCGAAGAGTTCAGAGCAAGAACACTTTCCTTATAATATTTATACTGACGTCCGTTTTGCTTGGATTTTGAATCGGAGCTATTTCCTTTGCTGCGTGTGGCTTGTCAACTATGGTTTTCAATGCCATAATTCTGATGGTTGCTCCGACAGCCTATCCTGAATTCGTCCCGCTTACGTGCCCGCCATTGTGGTACCTTGCCTATCTTGTTTATTCCGAAAACTACGTATAATATAACTAAACCAATACACCAACTACCGATGGTTCGGTCAGTAAGCGTTCACCTCTCGTCTCCTGCTTTGGGGTGTGTACGAGAGATGGAAGCGGTGCCATTTTGAGATCCCAGCGATAATATGCTTTTGTGCCTCGTAGTGAATAGAGCGGTTGATTTCTTGATCTTGGCAATCTTGATTTCTCTTTCGTTCAATACGTCATACCTTCCGTATGAATTATTGTCTGGTGTTTATTTGAAGGCACCTTCAATGGGTTGGAAAGCTCTATTCACCTTCAAAATCGGTCTTGATGCAGAGCATCCAAGATCACTTTCGAATGACCAGCTCTCCTTGGGGGAGGGGAAATCGGTATACTCTGAGTTTGTCGTTTGGGCATAAAATCGCATGTTGAATATTCCAACGTACTTGTACTGTAGACCGCAGGCACACTGTTCGATCACTTTGACTACATTGTGTTACAGACGGACAAAGGCCGAACGGCCTTCGACCGTCAAAAGTTGTTGTCGATGCGCTGAGGCAATGATGCCCAGTTTATCGAC